AAAATAAAATAAGAAAAGGAGCTCAGGAAGGAAGAAATTAAAACAAAACGAGAATAAGAGAAAGAGTCAGAGAAGAAAAAGGGAACCACTGGAGAATCCGATCACAAGAAAAAAGTAAGGCAAAGCAACGGAAGATAAACGAAGAAAAGGAAATACTCATAGGAGGAAGAGAGAGCGAAAAAAACGACTGCCTCCTCATACATTATGCCTTCGGAGTCACGGGCGATGATGCCACTTGCTCTCGTTCCCAGATGGCACGACTGCCCCCCCCCCCTCTTGCCCTCCCTTTTCCCAACCCCTTTTCTCGTCTATTTTCCCTCTCTCTATTCGCATCTATGTTCTCTATCCCCTCTTCTTATCTATTTCCCTCTCCTTATTCTCATCTATGTTGCCTATCCCCTATTTCTACCTATTTTCCTTCTTCCTATTCTCATATCTGTTCCCTATCCCCTCTTCTTATCTATTTCCCCCCCCCCCCTTCTCATCTACTGTCCCTCTCCCTATTCCCATCCATGTTCCCTATCCCCTTTTCTTATCTATTTTCCCTATTCCATCTTCCCATCTACGTTTCCTATCCCCACTTCCTACCAATTTTCCCTCTCCTTCCTTCCTTCTACGTTCCCTCCCCCTCTTCCCATTCCAATTCCCTACTCCCCTCCCCTCCTATTCCTTTATCCCAATTCCCTTCCTTCCCCCTTTATTCGCCTCCCGCCTCTTTTCCCCTTCCTACTCCCTCCCACCTTTCCCCTCCCCCCTCGCTTCCCATCCCTGTACTCTTCTCCCTTTTCCCTTCTTCACCTTTCTATTCTCTTGCCCTTCCCCGTCTCCTTCTTCCCCCTCCCCCCCCCCTTAGCCTCCACACCTCCTATCCCCCATTCCCCCTTATTCTCTCGCCCTTCCCCCTCCCCCTCCCCCCCTTCTCCCCCATTCCCTTAAGGCCTACGCCATTCTCGATCAGAAATTGCATCAAGAAAATGTGAAAGTTATTGACACTTTTAACACTGTATCTTTCTACTAGTACTTGTTCTTGTTCTTCTTCCTTTCTCTTTGATTTTTAATTTTCTTACCTTGCTTCTCATGTCATTCGCCTTCCTATCACTTGCTTTCATCATTCCGTATTGCCGTTGCTTATAAAATGAGGTTGTTCTTTATCCGTATCTTCATTTGTTTCC